ATTATTTCTTTTATAAAAAAATTCTGTTCTGTAATAAATATTTCATAATTTGAAAACATCTTTTTCACTTAACACTTGTGGTCAGGAAATTTATTTGTTATGATGATCATTCCTAATTCGATATGTAGTACCGAATATTCGAATGTTTATCCGAATATAGTCAAATGATTAACATCACTAAATTTGGTTAACCAAATTAAAAATAACCAAGAAATTTCAAAAAACAATTAATTTGTACAGAACATACCAAAATCCTGCCAGTTTTATTACTTTTTTCTTGGCACTTTCTGAAAGAAGTGCAAAAATTCCACCTTGATGTCAGGGATCAGTATTGGCATTTAGCTGACAAAGATATTACCATATAATTTTAATCTATAGGGGAAGGGATCATTTAGGCAAAAAGCCCATGATGTCCCCTCCCAAAATTATAAATTTGTGTTAGTATCAGAAAAGCAGATAATTTAAGAAAATCATTAGAACAAAAACTATTTTATAACTTTCCTCTTAACATCAGAGAGCACAAATGCGATTTTCAGAGTCCCCAATCCCATCCTGTATCACAAATTCCTGCCTGAGCTTGAAACAAGTTGCTGCAATTTCTTATTGCCTTGATGAATCTAGATGTTGTTGATCTACACCTAATATCACTACTCTTCAACCCAGACTGCACCAACTCCAGAGTTGCACAACTTTTCAGTTGCATAGCCAACCATCTTCATCTTTACCCTTGAGGTAGTAGGATCGTTGCAGTAAACTTTGGCTAGCATGTTAGCAGCCTTCTCTGGTGAGGGAAGATTAGTGAAAAGTGTCATTGAAGATTGATGCAATCTCAATAAACTCCAGACACATGTGTCTTCTGGAATTCTATTGCATTCATTGTATCTTTAGGTCTTCAAGTCAAGATTAGCCTTGTGTACACAAGGAATGTGAGAATAACTGTAATGTGCTAAGGTAGTGTCATGTGTGCCATGACATTTGTGAAGTGTACAATTGTAAAAATGTCACATATCAAATCATTTCCCTTCCTTGTATCACCTTGACATTTTCTTATTATTTTAATATTAATGTTGATTACAAAAAATAAAAAGATACCAATCATTTATCATGATATAGAATCTTGTAATAAATACCCAAGACACTACAAGATCTGCTTCCATAGTTTGATTTTGCAATAATATATACACAAAAGAATCAATACATATCAATATTTATAAAAACAATTAAAATAATAAAAACAATGCAACCAAAAAAATAGTGTACCTCTTAGTGTTCCATGTTGCAATCCAAAAAAGGAAACCAAAGTGGTTGCAAAGGTGGTTGCAACCAGGTGTCGCAAACCATTTTTGTATGTTGCAAATATGGTTGCAACCATCACCAAGAATTATGACCAGCATCTATAGTACCTCTTGCCATCAATAAATAACATGTCTTCTTTAGAGCAAGCCATACTGAACACAATGTTCACGCCTTCTTTCATCTTGTAAAGATAAATTATTTTTCCAAAAAAAAAATTAAAATAAAAATAAAAATTCAATCATGTCAACAAACAATAGTGTAATTACATATATATAAAATAGAAAATCCAACTTATGTAACAAATCAGTTTTTTTAAATATCTCATTATTTTTATAACAAATACAAACATTATTATTAATCAGAAATAAAACTATAGCATTATAGCTTTCTAATGAGCCCTCTCCCATATTGATAGAGGCTCTCTATGTAAAGCTATGTTTATTCAAAACAGCATTACTTTTTATTTCAAAGCTAAGATTTTTTACCAATATTACCTTTATAAACTTGATGAGTGGTATAGATGCTGGTCGCAATTCTTGGTGATGGTTGCAACCATATTTGCAACATATAAAAATGGTTTGTGACACCTGGTTGCAACCACCTTTGGAACCACTTTGGCTTCCTTTTTTGGATTGCAACATGGAACACTAATTGGAACAAGATATCAAATCTGAACTTATAAAATTATATGACTCTTCATCTAAATGGTAATCAAATAATAAAGCTATTTCATTGATTATATGTAATCAAATTAATTTTCGTGAAATTATTTATTCTAGTGATATAATTAGGATTGGTGTGGTGGATTTTGAAAAAGAATATAATAGCTCTAATTTTGTCAAACTCAAAAATAAATTTACTTTAAGATCCCAAAAAACATTCTAGAGATGATTAAAAATATTTCTAAAGTCAAGACACTAGAAGAATCAGAAAAACTTCTAAAAAGGATCTACAGTAGCCATTCATTATTTAGCTCAGAAATTAGATTGAGTTTGGAAGTGGCGATAAGAGCATCTGCAGAAAAAATGTAATCATATAATAATATTCTTTCAGAGGATAAATAATACATATAACTGATTTGAATTTACTTAATAATACTTAAAAAAAATTTTAAAAGATTTAGGTATTTTAGTCTTGATACATTTTATTGGGAAAGGAATGTATCAGAGAGTCATATAAGCCATGGAATGTTCTTAGACTTATTTGTAAATTTATTTTATGATGGAATGAAATATTTAGTAGATGACCAAAAGTATAAGAATTTTTAGAATTTAATCTTTGTTGCACATTTTCAGTTATCTAATTTTAGATTTTATATATTACAATTACATTTCAGAGAACTTTTAGCTAATAAAAGCCATTGTATCTCCTTACTTGTTGGAAAAAACTCTGTAAAGGCATTGGTTCCAGATATTAAAATACTTTTAGAAAAAGAGATTTAGAATGTTTAGTAATAGAACATGGAAAATTTGAAGCAGTAATTGATAATGGAAAAGCATTAAGTGATAGAGGTATTGTTTACTAAAAAAATATATATTAAATAGTTTATATATTTGTTTCAAGCAATTAAAATAATTTAAAAATTTTTATTAGATAAATTATGCACTCTATTGCATGATATGCTTCATTCATATCATAAGTTATTAAAAAAAGGTGAAAACTAGTGATGTTAGCCGGCTAATAATCTGCATGCATAATTTCTAAATTTGGTAATAGATTTCTGCATTACTTTCTTGTTATAGAAACAAAATTACCAATTTAGGTAGTAAACGGCTTAGCCGGCTAAGGATTTTTAAACGGCTAACATCATTAATTTTATATGCGCGGTTATTTATTTAGAGATCCTCTGTTTTAGTATCATCTAAACATAAAAATGAAACAGGACAGTTCTGCATTACAAAGGAAAGCATTTGAAAGGAAGGGTGTTTTAGTCAAAATTAATAGAGATATCTTATGGATTAATCTGTTGGCAAGTTATTTATTTCAATTACCTCTTTGCAAATTAAGAATGATTTGCAAAAATACCACAAAAAAAGAAACAAGTTTTGTAATTGAGGATGTGAGTAGGAGAGACCGTTCTGGGAACACAAAATTTTAGCCCACTGACTTTGGCTTTACCAATTTCCCATAAAACTAAAAAAATCCCCATTGATAACGTAGAAATACGTAGATATGGGTTTTATTCATTTTGTCAACAATCACTTCACCAACAATCATTTCATTAATGAATCTAAGAAGTCAGAAGCAACCATGTGACAAACCATTGAAATGGTCTAATAAATTAAATAATTGTACTACTCGAAAATGTATTTAAAGGGTTGGTTTTCAACTTGGTTGAAGAATAACTCTCTTCCTAACTCTTCTTTTGACCATATCTCTCAATATAATCAAAATAACCTTAATATAACAAATGTTGATGAAATGATCACAAACACAACAAAATTAAGATACATGATCAAGATGAAAAATGAACAATGCATGAAAAATCAAACAAATGTTACATAAAACAACACCTTCTGTTCACGTTGATGGAAGTGGTAGATAAAAATTAAAAAAAAATAAAAAAATAAAACCAAAAAGGTAAGGAAAGATCAAAAATTTTTTTAAACATCAGATGAATGAATAGTGAAAAATAATTAGATTAAGTAAAATAATAAATAATTATAAATTAATAAAATAAATAAAAAATAATAATTATTAACAATATGTATAACATCAATCATTTCAGAGTAAAAAAATAATTTTTTTAACTAAATCAAAGAAACGTCTCATTTTTTTCATCTCATGCTCCCCAAAAAATTGTGTTTAGTAAAAATTGATTTTTTATCAGCACAATGCTCACTTGATCTGTTCGATCTGTTCGTCCATTCGCTCATGTATAATGATCACTCTTCTACAACATTTTATTTCCTGTATCACTGTTTATTTACAACAAGGTTTGCTAATATGATAAGAAATGAAGATATTAGCTTTATAGAATATGTTGATAAAAACAACATGGAAAAGGAAATGTTATTGAATCTCTAAAATTTGATAGGATATACAGAGAAGAAATGCCAGAATATGGTGGTTATGGATATTTAATAAATATGAATTCTGTTGAATTTAGTATACAAGAGGTATGTGTATATTAAAAAATTTATTTAACATATAAGTTGTAAAAAGATTGATTGCTTTATTAAATAATGAAATTTAGGTAAATAAATATGGAGAAATCAAAAAAATAGAGGAAAAATTAAATAAACTGAGGATATAGACATCTGCAGATATTTGGTTGGAAGATCTAGATTTGTTAAAGAATGGAATAAATTTTTACAGTATGATTCATTAAATAATTATGACTGTGAAAATGAATTATCTGATGAAATGAAATCTTCAAATAAAATCAACAACAAAAGAAAGTTTTTTCATATTTAAAAGATAGTGATGAAATAAATAAAACAATTGTTGATGATGATGATCAGATGAAAAAGGTAATGATGATGACAACATTATTATTATTTATAATAAAAAACTTTTTCATCTCAATTGACTTGAACATTTTATCTAAATATATTAGAAAAATGACAGTCAACCAATAGATGTAGATGAATTTTATGATTATTATTAATTATTATTTTTAATGTTATTGTATTTAGATTTTTTCATTTTATTATATTACTAGAAATACACTAATAACAAATTATTGCTAAATTTTTAAATATATTTCTTTTGATGCTAGCATTTGTGTATATAAATTTTGCATACTAACAACATTGTATTTATTTTGTACTTAGTACATAACATTGGTTGGTAGTGAACAACTGAACCAAAAACTAATGATTGTATTTAAAAATTCAAATGAAATATTTAAAGCTAAAAATGGATGAAAAGTCTGTGTTCAGGCAAATTTGATAAGTAAGATATGGGTGGCTGGGCATGGTGCTGTATTAAACCATTTAATTATTTGGACATTAATTCATCTTTTGCTTGCAATTGGTCACTTTTGAGAATTTTTTATAAATAAAAAAATATAAAACTGAGTTTATTTTGGTTTTATTAATTTCTTGATGAAAGACATCCAGCTTTACAAAAACTTTACATATATGCAATTGTATACAATTTTGAAAGGAAAGAGAACAAGGGATTGTGTTGGTGATTGCTACTTTTAATCCCTGAAATCTTTGGTAATACCCAATGTTCACTCTGTCTGGTTTTGTTGCAGTATGCCCCATTTTAATAATTCAGAAAAGGAGTAAACTGTGGAATTCATTTATATACATCATGATGTAAGATAATCAACTGCTTAGTCAACCAACTAATAATCAATTTAGGATTTCTTTGACCAATTCCAATCTCTAGTGTGTGCCACTGTTTAATAGTTTATTTCATGAAAGAAGGATATTATTCTATTAAGCTAAGATCATGGATTGAATGAAGATTTGTTGTGGAGGGTAAATACTAAATTCCAAAATGGTTTTCCTTTTATCAATATAGTCTCAACACAATACATATTAGAGGTTGGGCACCACACAACAATTCTTTAACCGGTTAATTAACAGTTAAAATCAAGAGTTAACCGGTTAATTTAGTCACGTGGAATTTTTTTACAAAATAATCACGTGCCTGTTGAATTTTATTATCATGCACTTAACAGATGCTAAATGATTACAGTCAAACCTCGCCACAGCGGATTTATGGTTCCAGCTAAAAAAACCCGCTATTGTTATTATTATTATTATGACAAGAAATCCGCAGCGGCAAAATTACTGATGCATCGGGCAAAATTTTTTAATAAATAATAGTATTTAATCCTTGTAATTAAGTAGTGAGGGTTTGTTCAAATTTTATTTCGACGTTGGTTTGTGGTTGTGGAGTCTGATGTCTTGATCTTTCTTCAAGGGATTGTTTGTTAAAAACTTCCGATCCCTCTAATTCTCTTCCCGGTTGTGATGTAGAAATGATAGAGCTTTCTTCTTGTGAATTTTCTTCGTCAAAGTCGTTATTATTTTCTCTAAAAGCCCAGTTATACAAATTACTCATGCAGAAGTGTTAATAATATAGGTGTAAGTGTATAAATAATAATGAATGTGTGTATGTGTTAAAAACATAATGTATATAAACGTGAATGTGTGTATTAAAAACTTAATGCATGTAAACGTGAATATGTGTATGTGCATGTGTGTTAAAAACGTCCACTGCTTTTTGAATTATATATTATAAACGTGTGTGTGCGTGCGTGCGTGTGTGCGTGCGCGCGCGCAAACGTCCACCCGCTGCTTTTTGTTTTTTTTTTTCTGAATAATATATCGCAACGTGAATGTGTGTGTGTGTGTGTGTAAACGTCTGCTGCTACCAAATTGTAAAGAATTTGTGAAGAATTACTTCAAAAATGAATTAAACACTTTTCTACAAACAAATACTTTAATTGTGGTAAAAATATAAGTTATTCTTTATTCCTTTAATATAATAACATAATAACATATTTATAATGATAAGAAAATACAGTTATTTGAATATTACTAAACATAATTAGCAAAAATACTTAATATATAAAATTGATTTGTTCACCGTCATTAATGTTTATTTGTACGTAGTACTCGTGATGAAAATGTAAATTGTTACATACTATCACTATTGGTATATTTGTAACTATTATCATTGTTTTGAAATGATTTCAATTTACTAGTAAATTCATTTTCATTTTCATTATGAGTTTGTTGATTTAATTCTCTGTCTTTTCATCAGCACAAACAACAACATTATTAAATATTTTATTGGATTTCTTTTTTCTTCTATATATGATAAGAATAGAAATGAAAGCAATGATGAAGATTGCACCAGATGTAATTGATCCAATAATTATACCAGTAGTTTGTGCACTGGTGGTGGTTGGTTTATTAACAGTGCTAGTAATGATTTTAGCTGTTGAAGGATCAAATGTGTCTAGCCATTTATAATTATATTTGTCACTAATATCTAACAATAAAATATTTTGATAGCTACCATGACCAATGAGAACACCTATTATTATTATTATTGAATATAAATATAATTAATATAAATAAATAAATATATTTATGTATGAATTTTAAATTGTTATTATTATAAGTTACCAAATGAGATTATCATGTAATTTTTATATAAATTTGAAGTATGATAACAATGAAATCTATTAATTAGATTAACAGGATAATTAGTAAAGTTTGTTGGAACTGTCCATTGGAAAGGAGATTTTGTTATATCCAATATTGCTAATTTATCCAAACTTGAAGTACCACCATACACAATTATCCTTCCATCAGGTGCTAAAACAAATAAATATGTGTATATATAAATTAGAAAAAATAAATTTAACTAATGATAAAACTAATTGATTTACCTAATACTGAAGAACATCCAAATCGTGGAGAAGGTGTATCACCAATTGTTGTCTAATGTAACAAATATTTATTAATAACTTTTTAGTTGAAAATTTTATTACTGATGATTATATAACTTACAATATTAGACCATGAATTTTGATTAATATTATACAAGTATGTCTAAATATAATATCTATTATTAGAAAATATAATATTCTCATTCCTTTTATTTTAATTAAATAATAAAAGAATAAATTATAATATTACTTTAGTTCTAAGAAGATTTAGGCAAATTATATTCTCATTATTCAACACATGACAATTGAAAAAATTTATGACTACTATAGATGGACCACTATTACTTGGTGTTAAGGTTGTAAATATCAAACTTTTGGCATTGAATTTATATATATTTGGATCCTTTTCAGTGAATATATAAATGTTTCCATTATTATCTAGTGTATAGATCATTTTTCTAACTTTATTTAATTGTAATTGTCCATTTATGGTTTCTGGAGTCCATGTATCAAATGAATTTGTATTTATTGAATAAACTATAGATCCATAAGCTGTAGAACCAGGTACTGATAGACCTTTATATCCAGCTATAACATAAAGTGTGTCATTATTAGTTCCTCCTAATGCCAATGATGCACTTTTAAATGGAGGTATTACTGATTTTGGAACAATTAGTTTTATTGGTAATGTTTGATTAAGTGAAAATGATGTGGATAAATCCAGGTAAATTATTTGGTTTGTACGTCTTAAATAGCCAGTTTCCCCTCCGAAATAATAGAGTTTATCATTTAACACTATCGAACTTTGATCACTTATATTTAATAATTGACCAGAAACCAAAAAATTGAAACTATCTAATAAAAATAAATTGAAAATTATTATTAATAAATTTAATAATTTTAGATAGTTGCAATGAGGATAATTCATTAAATTATGCATTTTTTTTAAAAAAAAATGTAGTATTAAAAATAAATCTGCATTGCCTTCAAAAATGAATAATATATATAAGGAAATTATGTACAAAATAAAAAAAGTAAATTTTTGCTATTTGGCAAAATAGAAATAAAAAAATAAATCTATACCAAATATGCAATTAAAATTTTTACACAGTAAAGCCACCATTCTTATTGAAACGCAAATTTCTTAGCCAATTAAAATCTCCTATTAAATAGTGTGGCTTCATAGAATATGTTATTTTACTATTGAAAAATCTTTCTCTGTGCGTGATAAAATTTTCACACTAGAAATTTTAAATTGTTACTTAAAAACAGAATGCTTAAAAATATTTTATTTTTAATTGAAAACTAAAATAGAGGCAAATTTAAGAAAAACATCAAAAATAAAAGATTAAATAAAACAATTGACAATAACCATTATAATTGTTGAGAGCAAGCAGTGCTTATTTTTGACAACCTGATAATTATATATTGGATGATATATATCATATATAGTACTAAGCATTTAATTTTAATATTAATATAATAAATTGTGATAATTAGAGCTCTGAATGAGTCAGGTCAGGTCGGTTCAACGGGTCACAGATTAAGAAAATTACAAATGTAAATATATTAATTGATTTAAATATATACAGTACACACAATATGTTCACTGTTACTGCCACTTTTAAGAAATCTGTCCAACAACATCATTGCTTGTTTATTTACATTAACATCAATTTTAATTTTATGATTTTTAAGATGATGACTTAAATTTGAAGTAGAGCCACTATTCATATTATATTTCCCATGCCTTTATTTAATATAATTATCATGATTAGTAATTTTTTTAAAAAAAAAAATAAGTAATGCAATTTATTTTAATTACTTACAAGCAATATTTACATTTAGCCCATTTTATGCCATTTGTTTATCAAAATGTGTCCATATTGAACTTTTATTCTTAGAAATACTGCGAGCGTGCAATCCGAGTTTCCTATTTAATAGGTTATCTATAGCTCAACACACAGCCTCCTCACTGACTTATGGTTGATTCTATTGTTTGACACACAGCCTACTCGCTGACTTACGGTCAATTTCCTTTATTTATATATATATGACACACAGCTTACTTGCTGACTTACAGTCAAAGATTAATAATAAAAATAACTTTTATCTTCCTGGATAAAAGGGTCCCTAGGTTCTATGTAAATGATTATATCCCAAAGGCGTCCCCTTGAGATGTATCTGAATAATTAAAAGGGTTCCCAACTAATAATTAAAGGTTGGCCAGACCATTAACCATTAGAAGGGCTGGGGGGTCAACCACACTGGGTTTATTAGTTACTTACAGTCAAAGACTATTTTATGTAAGGTTATATATTTATTAAGAGTTATTATTATGTTGTTGTTATCAAGGTTGTTATTAACAATATTAACAATTGATTTATTAATTATTCTTGTTAACTTGGTCTAAATCCAAGTGTATTTATACCTCTTGGGGCAGTACAAATAATGTGATATGTGCTACTCTACTCTCCAATAATATGCTTATCAACTAATTACTAATTCTAAATAAATATTTACATCAGATGAGAAGGTTAATAAATATAAATATAGAAATATGAATAGGAATAGTCTTTCATATGACACTGCACAATGTGCGGTGTAGCCATTACAATAATATAATATTTAGCACATCACATGACTTCTGTAGTAAATTCATTCTAATTAGTCAATATTAACCAGGTAATTGACAGGTCCAAGATTTACTATCTCACAATACCTTCTAAAATATATACTTCCTCTTAACTTCAATTACCAATATCAATGTTTCCACATGATGGCAGTTGAAATCCAGTATGGCAGTAGTATGAGTTGATAGCCTTGAAAATACGCAGTCTGGTCCCATAAACCTATTTAACACCATGCAGATATTGACATCAATAGCAACACAAACATCCTCCTCATTTAATACCACTTTATTTTGAATAAATTGTGGTCTCTTGAATCTTGGTTGTTGGTCAAAGTGAAAGCAGTTCACTTCATTGAAGAAGTCATCCCAAAGCATTACACTTGATGGTGGGTCACCATTAACCTTTGTAGTGGTCTTTGATGTAGTACATTTCAGAGCATATGTTATGGGTGGTGGAATACATGACAACACCTCTTCCAAGTTGAGAACTGAAAACAAATATATGTTAAGCAAGCTGATTAATTTGAGTTATTGTAAATACATAGACTTTTGACCATCAAAATTTTGACCCTGAAAATCACCAAACCAATTTGGGCTGCATGTATAGTTTATATATCATGAGATTCGAGTAACACTTTGTTAATTTTGTTAGATATTTTAATATCTCACAGTATGTGCAGGAAATTTTAGTTCAACTAACATGTATCAAAAGAGATAAATTTACTTTTGAAAAAAAGAACAAGGAGAGAAACAGTAAAAAAGCCAAGGAAATTTTTTTGGAATATCAATTTATTCAGTTTTGTCATATACATATGTCAGACTCAATTACAATGAAAAATGAATCAATTTGATATTTGAGGGGCGCTCTAGGAAAAGAAGGGTCGGAGATTTTTGATCAAAAAAATTTTTTTATATGATATTTAACTATAATATGATGATTATAGTTGGTGAAAAAATTGGACCCAGTTTGTTTAGTACAAAAATAAATTTCCTGGGGTGACAACTTTCTTTCAAAAAAGTTTAAAAACAAAATAAGCAATGATTTACACACTGCATAATTTTTTTGAAAAAAAAATTAATGATATTTTTATATTCGAAATAATATTTTAAGATAATGAACTCCAATCTATCATATTTTTAATAATTATTTTTTTTATAAAATTACAATTATAAATAAAAAATTAACAAAAAAAAAGGCAAAAAAGCAAAATAAATGATTATTCAACCATATTTTTCCTAAACTATATTTTTGATTGAATAGAACTTAAAATATCATAATGACAAGTTTCAATTATAATAAAAACTAATTAGGATTAGGACAAAGAATATTTCTAAATTCTGGGTCTACATGCTGACGAATTTTGTTATACAAATATCTTTTTCTATCTTCTGACAATGGAGCAATTTCAAGTACATCTAATTGACTATTTTTATCAAAATTATCATCCTTTAAAAGTTTGAAAGGAATCTCAGTGCCACCTGATTTTTTTGAAACATAAACTTTTCCAATATCATCTGATAAACTACTGAAACAAAAATGATGATATTTTGTTATATTTGGCAGACTTCAGAAATGTCCTTCAAATAATAAAGTAAAGTTATACCAACTCCAATTTGAGCCATTGCCATATCTAATAGGTTCATTACACTCTGCTGAATCTTTTATAGCTTTTGCAACATCATCAACAGTATTTATGCGCCTGTTTTTGTATTTACTTTTAATATGTCCAAAATTTGCATCACAAATAAATTTTGTATGCCCAGGAATCATAAAATTGATGTAAATATTCTCATACCAACCTAGCATTATTATCCATGACCAGAACCATAAAGACAGATTATTTTTGTTCTGTCCAGAACAATTGTCACATGTTACATAAAGGTCTTTGTTGTCAGCATGATCAAACTTTTTTAAGAAAGTCATATACCATGTTTAAAGTGGTATTAGCTCCTTTGTGAGTTCCTTTTGGGAATTCATCTTCTCCAATGATATAATTTAATTGATAATTTTTATTTCCATCAGTTCTACACACACCAAAGAGATGTATGTTAAAAGGAGACTTAAAATAAATTGATCCAGTTTGTTGAGGAGAATAAGGAGCCACAACACTTTGTGCCCAATCATAACAAATGTGATTTATTGAAAAATCAGTTTTACCTTTTGTAGTAATATTGTTATAATGTTCTCTTTCACACATTGCAATTTTTTTATGCTTTTCATATTCAAAATTAATGTTTGCAATTTCATCTTTATCTTTTGTTGACATCAATTTTGTGTCAAATCCATAACATGTATCACAGAGATCACTTGCATGATTTAGGAATTTGATTTCTGGTGTTAGCTGTTGCCACAGTTTACAAAAAGTCTGTAGTGCTATAATTGGAATAGGTCTAGAGTTTAGATTTGAATTTACCAAAAGTAAGTTTTTTTTATATTCTTCATGCACATTTTTACGTGTTATTTCAGTTGGCAAATAAATAAATGGTTCCAGATCATCTCTAAGCTTCATTGGAGATGGAAGACCATATATTTTTGCATATTGCAAGACAAATTCCTTAAAGGTATTTGCTACTTCAGCATTAATTAATGAGTGTGATTTGATTTTAGGAATTCTTTTTGTATTGCCATGAATACGACTTTCCAGACCATTTGTTTTAAAATGTGCTTGCAATGTATCTAAGAGTTTTCTACTAATATTATTTAGTTTCAAAAACACTTTTTGACAAATAGGTATTGATGAATTATATTTATAATTATAATGTGATTTAGTTGAATTTTCATTTACTAACTCAAATGTCATTAATTGTGTTTTAATACAAAGATCCTTCATATCTTTTTCTAATCCTTTCAATTCCATGTATCTTTCAAAAAAATTTTTAAACCCAATTTTTTCAAAACAAATTTCATTTTCATTTCGACATCTACAGTTTGATCTGTTTCCAAAAAATAATTTTAGTTCATGAACATTTTTCTGTACCAAAGTATTTGATTCATATTCCTCTAATCCTAATTCAGCTAAATTGTATTGTATCAAATTACTTTCTTCAAATGATTCATTTTCATTTTCAGATGCTTCAATAATTTCTTCCATTAAATCAGACATTTTAAATTATAAAAATATTAATTTTTGCAAAATTATTTTATGAATAATTTGTATGTAAAATTACTTGTAAATTGTATTTGTGCATCGAAAATTATATACATGAATTATATATGCATTTAAAATTGTTCACAATTTAAAGAAAATATACAAAACAATTTATTAACAAAGATTAACAAAGATTATTTTGTGTTTACAAATAATATTGTGCATTAACAGTCAGTGTGCAAATCCTTTCTCTTTTTTTTAGTGCGTGTAACATTTGCTTGAACACCATAAGTTTCTTTTAACACTTATAACACATAAACTTCTTAATTAATTAAAAAATGATACATACAAAAAAAATTCTTGAGGTTTCAGGAAGTATTTTATTACAATGAAGCCTTTTCTTGAGTTCACAATAAGGGGTCAAAATACACGCGAAAATTTACACAAAAAACGTTGATTCTTTTCAATAAGACAACTGTATGCTGATTACAATAGTCAATAAACTAGAGCGAAGCTTGTTCTTTGGACTTCATTAGTACCATAAAGACAACTTACTTAATAGAATTTTCAAAAAATATACATACACGATTTTTAAAATTTGTTTAAAGAAAAACATATTTCGTTACTTTTTATTAGGGCGATTTCGTAATAAATAATTCTTGACTCTATCAGCATCCCACATATTACTTGAATCTGCTTTCATATTTAAAGTAGGTAATATTGTTAAAATTTTTTCTTCTGAAATTTCTTCTCCTTGTTGGATTAATTGAATCAACGGAAGTAATGTATTTTTAGCTTCTAATGTAGTTACACATCTTGATCTTTTTTTTATAACATTTTCTACTGATTCATGTAGATGAGGTTGGGCTTGTGTTTGTAGATAACTTGATTCAGAAAACGATCTAATAATTGAACTGGTTGGATTTGTAAAGAATTATCTGAAAATTGAGTAGGTGTCTTCTTTTCAGCTTTTTTATTTTCATTTATGTTCTTCATTGTTGTTTTAGTAATGTTAAGTGCTCTTCTTCCCTTCTTCTCAATTTTCTCAGTTCCAAAGACCTCTTGTCTACAAATAGAATTCATTCTTTCATGTCCATTTGTATAGCAATCAAAAAGTCGTTGCACTCCAACAGGATTCAATGCACAAGGTTTTGTTGTTTTCCATAAATTGCATTCAAGTGCTTTATTATCTGCAACATTAAATGTGTCTAATAAATGATTAACTAAATCCCACATAGTTTCTTTGTGTGTCTTTATTGCTCTGGTTCCATGAGGAGTTGTGGTATCATTCAAATATTCAGAGAAGAGAACACCAATCCTCTCATGTTTGGTTTGTGCAGCACTTATTTGTGATTTCATGTTATCTTCATCAATTACATTTCCATTTATAAAGCCTTTAATAAATTTAACGCCTAGAGTTTCAAGTGCCTCATCAAATCCAAAGAAGTGTCCAGCTCTGTCTTCAGATGTTTTTATGGATGCTGCAGCATTTAATTTTTCCTCAAGTTTTGGATATTGGGACAATATGGCAAGATAATGTGCAACAGACTTCATGTAATTCATCTTTCCAGCTGCAGGGAATAAAGGAGAAAAAGCAGTTGAGCAATATTTCTGTAATTTGAAATTTCCACAACGTATTCCAATTCTGTGAGCAATAAAAATTCCTGTCCATTGATAATAGAGAAACCAGACTTTGAGGATCATATTTTTGTTGAAATCACCATCAAGAATTTGATTTTTGTCCATTTTTTTTTTTTTTTAACCAGATATTTATCAAAAGTCCCACTGCAGTCCAAATTAATTCAAGAACCCTTACTGTAGAACAATAGTCAACTACACTTTCCAATTTATCTAAGTATTTTACACCAAGTGTTGATGCAATGTCAAAAATTCCATAACTTGAGAATATTGTAATTAATACACTACACATATCCTTGGAGGTATGCCATTGTCCTTACATTTTGATGTTCTTTTCAATATTTGACTAATCGTGCAAATATTGATTCATCTGCAACAATATCTATGTAATCTTCTTGATTTATTTCATAATCATTATAATACATATCTACAGATTCAAAGATACCAGCATCTTTATTTGGAGTTCCTCCTGGTTTAAGAATTACAATATTTGGTGGAGAATAATTACACCCATGTTCAACACACTTCATCATTTTTTGATAGATTGTTGAAGCATCAAAATCTTTCTGATATTTAATAACATCATTTTCTATTGTCATCTGTAATGATGTATGTAACCAACAATTTGTCAAAAAGGTTTATAGCACTTTCTGCTACGTTATTCATGCCAAACAGGTCTTTTTCTGAAATATTTTGGAGTATATCCTCTGGTCCTTCTTGAGTATTAAAAGAAAGAGGTATTTGAAAACACATTCTTAATGTTGCATGAGATGTATTACAAGTAGCATTAAAAATATTATAATAAGTGAAGCTTTTTTCTTTGAAATCAATATTATCAATCATTGACAAATTCCAAATTTTAGGATCATTTTTTTTAATCTTATTTCTGGTTGAATTCTACTCATTCTTTCTATTTCTAATTTTCTCTCATTACCACTAGTGTGAGCCATAATTTGCAAAGTTGAGAATAGATCTCTCATTGAACCAAGGAGTCTAGGTCTTCGGGAAAGACTTGCCATTACTTGTGGAAACCATACTTCCATCTTAGGAAATGTTATATGCACAATGATTGAAACGAGAAAGGTTATAATTTTTTTAATGCTCAATATATCTATCTCTTTTGGTGTTTTATTTTTTTGTTGTAATTTAATATTTGATAATTCTAATTTTTTCTTATAAATATCTGTTAGAATTCCATCAAAAAAACAAGTTAAGAAAGGAGGGAGTGCATTATAATATTCATCCAAGGAATCAGGCATTTTTATTTTATTTTTTTGTTCAAGTAACATAGTTCGTGAATTCCATAGAGCTTTTGCCATATTTTGACCAAAAGTTTTGCTTTGTTCATTTAATGAAAAAGAATTGGTATCTTCTAAGTTTATTTTGTGCATCTTCAGGAAAACCTTTAGTACAAAAGGACTTGGCACTTTTGTATATAACAGGTCAGATATTGTTGATATTTCTATTACTGCTTTTGAACTTGAATTTTTTGCTTCCATTTCTTGTGTTTCTTTAATTATTTGAAGTGCAGGATTCAAAATATTCATTAATACCTTTTCTTTATATTCTATATTTTCAGATTTAGCAACTGTTAAAAGCCATTTACCTAGAAGATCAAGGGAAGTGGAATGGTCATTGTTATGTAAACCAAATTTTTCACAATCAAATAGTGGTTTTCCAGATCCCATTTTCACATGTAAATGCCCTCCATGATTTTGATAACATTCACAGCATATATATTGAGCTTTAGCAACTATATCAACTTCTGGTTTGCAAATCACACCAAAGTTATTTAATGCATGACAGGTTATTTGTCCATTACAAGAAACCTGGATATTTTTATCTAAAATGTTCCAAGAATGTGAACTACAACTTCCACTATGACAAAAGAAAAAAATATACTTGCTACAGAAGAAGCACCGGCTTTTAATATAGTCATCACCAATTACAGATATTGTAGTTTTCAATTTATTTTTATGATATTTTTGATCAACATTGAAATGTTGCATACAGATTCCTAGTTTTTTTCCCTCTTCTTCGTTTTTTTTGACAATTTCCTTATCTAACTGCCACATTCCAATTAGATGATTGAGAGGTCTAATTTGTTGACTACACCCACATGTCTGAATTTTTCCATCCACCATATACATGTTGAATAATCATTTATTCTGTTCACGATTATTATTTACTGTGAATGATTCTAAAGATTGAACTGGTAAGGGATCTTCATATCATCACTTGTATCATCATAATACATATCTTGCAAAAAAATATTTTTATACATTTTTTTAAGGGCTTCACAATCATACTCAAAAGTGATATCATTATCATTTAAAATAATATTATCATTCTCCTCATTTTCTGGTTCTAAGTACTTAATGTTATTTTAAATTATTATTATAATAAAAAGGTTATTCTGATATAATGATATGTTTTAATAGAATATGAATTACAGAAAATTCTCTATCCTAATTCATGCTTTATAACAATTATCAAATTGTAATGCTTTATATATATAATGAAAGAATCAAATATATAAAAGGATAATAAATATTTAATATATTTAATCTAACAAGGAAATATAATCAATTATAAATAATTAATCTAACAAGGAAATATAATCTATGTATATGTGTTATGCATGAATTTATTTGTGTTCCTAATAAAAAAAATAATCTCGTTATATGGGACTTCTATAATAAGTCCACTATAAAGAGATTTTTCTTTATAGTGGACAAAAATGCCTGGAACCAAATTTCCACTATAACGAGCTTTGGATGTATACTAAGAACATGTAATAATTGGTTATTTGCAGCAATGGTAACTACCATAGAATAGTTACCAGGACTAGTCGCGTAACCTAAATGAGCATTCGGTTAAACTGATTAAACTATTTAGTCACCAAGTTTAGTTAAGACAATTATTACCAAATTAGGATTTTAATCCCTTTACGCGGCCAGCCCTGGTAGTTACCATTATAAAATAGTTACGGCTGTCGCAAATATAGTTGGCACGGTAATTCCATAATAATAATTACTATTACTATTACGGGCTTACGGTTCTAAACATCCCTAATTCCGTAAAAATGT